TCTATTGTAGACCCCGCGTAACGTTAAGTTACGGTAGAATAATTAATTAGCCAATCACAGTCAAGAGTATCACAAATTTCAATTTTCATTAGGTAAGATTTACGGTACGTCTGAAGGCCCGTCTACAATACACGGAGTAAGAAGTAAGAGTAAGAAATTGACCAATCACAGTCGAATGTGAGAAGAATAATCGACTGTGATTGGTCAATTTCTTACTCTTACTTCTTACTCCGTGTATTGTAGACGACGCCTTATGCTCGTATCAGACTACGGATTGACGATTACGATTAACGGTTGCCCAGTTCTACTTCAACCAATCACGATGTAGCAGGTCCATCGTAATTGGCTTAAATAGAAGCCAACCGTTAATCGTAGGCTGTGGTCCACTTAGCGCTTCAAACGCTACAGAGCATTTGTAACACTGATATGACTGGTCCATTTGATGCTTTAGAACGCTCCCAGCAACTCTGATTACGTCATTAATACGTCATCGTTTTTACTCCCACTTTGCATCAACTGCCTCACCTCGGGAGGTGGGTTGGCTGGAGCGTTCACGTAGCAATTATAGCATTCGAAATAGTAATGGACCAATCAGAGTGTAGCGTTTGAAGCATAACGTCCAAAGCATTTGGAAGAAGCAAGTGGACCGCAGCCATAATAGTTAACTCGTAGTCTGAGCCCGGATCCTCATACAGGCAACAGCGCTTTGACACAGAACGCTAATTGGTGAAAAGCCGGTTGTGGGGGTAAAATTTACTCCCATCACCCGTTTTTCAATCAGCGTTCGGTGTCAAAGCGCTGTTGCCCGTATGAGGATCCGGGCTGATACTTCCCTTAAGCCGTAATCACACTAGCGATTGGCGATTGTAATTGACGATTGAGGATTACTTTTCAACCAATCGGAGCAAAAAAATCGGTGACTTTCAGGCTCTGATTGGTTGAAAAGTAATCCTCAATCGTCAATCACAATCGCCAATCGCTAGTGTGATTACGGTTTCACGGTTATTGTTATGAAAAGTGTGTCCAAAAAGTTTGTGCATGCGTGTGTGCGTGTGTGGGTTAGCACGTAAATACGAGTGCGTTCGGTTTCACGCATGATGCGCATGACATATCATTTTATCTTTTAATATTTAGTTAATAATAAGAATAAGATGATATATCTGAACATCATGCGTAAAATGAAACGCATGGCACCAAAGACATATGGCGGTATTCATAGTCGACTCTTATTTCAAGACCATCTTAAGTAATTTCTTAAGACGCTAATGCAGCCCTCTGATTGGTTCCTGACTTCTTAAGACCGTACTTAAAACGGTCTTGAATATAAGATCTGACTATAAATACCGGCCATAGAGAATGGATTGCGCAATCCGTAGTAATATTTAAATGTGGTGGGCAATAATGATATAGAGGAACCGTGAAAAACGGTTAGTCTCTCTTTCATTCTCTTTCCCATTTACACTATTGAATGGAAAGAGATAGAAATTAACCGTCTTCCATAGTCCCTCTCTCTTATTTTTATTGACCATTGTAACGTAAGGCGTCGTCTACAATACACGGAGAAGAAGTAAGAAATTGACCAATCACAGTCGATTATTCTTCACACATTCGACTGTGATTGGTCAATTTCTTACTCTTACTTCTTACTCCGTGTATTGTAGACGACGTCTAAAGCGGGGAGCACAGACTCTTGCATAACGCATAACACGTAATGCATAAGAATATGTACCAATCGAAGTTCTCCGTTTCTTCCCCTTCCATGTAATAGAGAACACTGGTTGGTTTAATTTCTTATGCCTCATGTGTTATGCGTTATGCAAGAGTCTGTGCTCCCCGCTGAAGGATCGCGCAGTCCATTCTCTATGAACCCATAGAGCGGTATTCATAGTCCGTTCTTATTTCAAGACTGTCTTAAGTAATGTCTTAAAACACTAATGGCCGCAGCACACGCTCTTGCATAACGCTTAATGCATAGTGCATAAAGAAATCAACCAATCAAAATGCTTCTTTTCCATAGAATGAGAGGAAAGGAAAGATTCTGATTAGTTGATTCGCTTATGCACTGTGCGTTATGCGTTATGCAAAAGTGTGTGCTGCGGCCTTTAGGCCGGTATTCATAGTCGGAACTTATATTTAAGACAGTCTTAAGTATAGTCTTAAGATGTCATGAACCAATCAGAAGGCCGCATTAGCGACTTAAGACATTATTTAAGACGGTTTTAAAATAAGAACCGATTATGAATACTGGCCTAATACGGCCCCTGATTGGTTCGTGACTTCTTAAGACTGTACTTAAGGTATATCCACACAGACTTGCATAGCCGCATAAACGTATGCATAAAGAAAATTATCCAATCACATTTTATGTACGACTTCAAAAGAGAACTGCAATTGGATAATTTTCTTTATGTATATGTTTATGCGGCTATGCAAGTTTGTGTGGATATACTCTTAAGGCGGGCTTGATCTGATGAATACCGGCCTATGTCTTTTGAACGTACCCAAGGTCTTAAGCAAGTGTAACGGTGTAGTGCGATATGGCAGCCCGCATGTGAGGATTTTTAATCTTTTTCTTTGTTTT